CTGTAAAAACACCTGTTGAGTCAGCTGCCTGCCTGGACTCGGCCACAGTTACTTTCACGCCCTCCCGATCTACTGTAAAAGGGAGCTGTACTGCATGAGGTAACTTCTGCTGCTTTGATTTAACTCCGAGCAATGCTTCACACTATTTCTCTTATATTTTGCTACTCAAGTTTAAACACTAACTTGATCGTCGAAGGAACAACCGAAGAACCCAACTCCAGCCTCTCATGAATTCTTCATGCAGAGGGAAGAACAACAATCTAGAGAGCTAGTCATCTGAAGGAGTTTGAGGTTCCTAACTCTACTTTAATCTACAAATAAACCTGCTGTTTAATAAATGACATCAACAGACACTATAAATAATGGTATTTTTTGTTATAATCCCCAAGTTGTAAAAATTTTATTTCTAAGCCCGCTCAAATCCAAAATTGCCTAACATGTTCCACCAATAACTTAATAAGGTATAATATTAATGGTTTTTTTGCCTATAAGCCCAAAGTTTTGCTTCCGTTTATTTTGAAAACACGACTTCCAAGATCAATATTAGACCCAAAACACTCTAATTAAGGACAAATTTTCAAAACCAACCCGTTTCATGTTTTAATTGCAAAAAACGATCTGTTTCCAATTTATTTAGAAAAACCGACCTGGTTTCAGCACTGTCGCTGAAACCAGGTCGGTTTTTCTAAAAAACTTTACGAAACTTCACGGGAGTTCAACTCCCGTGAAGTTTAGTACTCTTTTAAACTTCACGGGAGTTGAACTCCCGTGAAATTTATTTCCCTCAATAAACTCCACGGGAGTTCAACTCCCGTGGAGTTTGTTGCATTGTTAAAACTCCACGGGAGTTGAACTCCCGTGGAGTTACAGGCCAAATTTCCCAGAGAATCGCTCTCTGAGAAATTTAGACTGCAACTTCACGGGAGTTCAACTCCCGTGAAGTTGCAGGTTTTACAAAACATGCACAGGCTGCTGTGCATGTTTTGTATACGTCTACCTATTTAACTCATATATACAACTATTTACCTGTATACGTCTACCTATTTAACTCATATATACAACTATTTACCTGTTGACAATAATTACTGTAATATATATGTTATTTAAACACGCACGAATCAAACAATACACAAAAAGATCACATATCGAGCTATAATTGATCCATAAAAGTTTAGTATTTGAAAATTCATACAATTTACAAATTTTAACAAAATAAGTTCAAATAAACCCAATATAGCTCATCTCCTTCCTCTCCCTCTCTTCCCCCTCCCCCTCGCTCTTCCCCGCCCCCGCGCTGATGAGCCTCGACTATCTGAGTATCCGGCTGTGTATGAGCGACGTGAGTCTTATGAAACACACCTGTGCTGGTCTTCTTGATCCTGCCGAGGAGCCCTAACGCCACCTGATCCTGAATCTCAGGCACGGTCGCATCAATATCAGCCTCAATGCTATCAAAAGCACGGACCTGTGAGGTAAATAATTTATTAAGTACCAACTCAAGAAAAAAATATTATAATTTAGCTTAGAAACTTACGTAATCTCTCTCGTTCATCCCACTAGGGATGTAACTGTCTGTCGGTGGCCGTGGCATGTGTCCAGCTAAGGGCTGTGGGTCACGTGTGATCCATCTACGTGTGATACCCCAATACCAACCAATATACGCGGTATAGTCAACAGCTGTGGGCCTCGTATCCTGGATAAAATCCCACCTGTGAGCCCACCTGTCTATTTAGGCCGCACGGACTACGGCCCAGTCGGTATGGTGCGAAGTAGGTCGCCGCCGACGAGAGATCTGCTCGACAGGTTCTGGCACATGCTGAGAGAGCGTAAACTGTCGTAGCATACGGTCAGGGACATGCATCTCCACGATCTCCCAACAAATCAATGGAACTCTCGCTCTCCACAAGTTGGGACTATCTCGGCAGATGGGTGCAAGAGAATGCATATCCAGCTCCGGCGGTGTATAGGGTCTCCACTTGAACTGAAATAAAATAAAAAATTTATCAGTATCAACAACAAAACTATAATATTCATAACGACTTGAGATTTATATTTACCTGTTCGTGTTGGAGGCCATCAAGCTCATTTCGGTAAAACTCACGATGGCGCGTCGCTGATCGGTACTTAGCGTACCGCACGTTATACCTATATGCAGAATAGAGAATATATAAGTACAAATTCAGTGCGAATAAAATTTGTGTGTACAATTATACCTGTACGCCAAAGGAAACTGCCCCTGTAGGTCACGGTGCACAAGTAAAGTAGGGCGTTCAATATGAATGCGCTCCCATGATTTTTTACAAATTCATATATCGATTCATATACCGATGTCATACATATGTAGTAACACTATTTTTTACATTATTGATAATTTACCCTCTAACTCGACAAAATAATTTAAGTTTTCTTCACATAATTCATAAAATTCACAATTAAATTCTCAAATCTAATTGATGTCATATAGCACTAATTTTTAGATTTTTTATAATTTCATAACTTATTCACAATGAAATTCTAAAACCGACAAAATTATTGATAACACTATTTTTTTAAAAATAAATTAGATGTCATACATATGTAGTAACACTATTTTTTACATTATTGATAATTTACCCTCTAAATCGACAAAATTATTTAAGTTTTCTTCACATAATTCATAAAAATTTCACAATTAAATTCTAAAATATAATTTTTTACATGTAATCACCATTAAATAGCGAGAAAATACAAGAAATTAAGAGAAAATCTAATTTTGGGAGGAATTTACCCTCAAATTGTCGAAATCCGGCGAAGTAGGCGGTTCCGGCGGTCGGAATCAAGGGCCGGCGGTCGGAAAGGGGTTCCGGCAGTTGGATTAGGGCTCCGGCGGTCGGATTTGGGGGGCTGGGGTCGGAACTGACGTGGACGGCGGCGGTTGGGACGGGAGAGAAGTTAGGGTTTGGGGGCGGTTGCGGGGAGAGAGAACTGAGGTGGGGAGGGGTCTGGCGCTCCGGTTATATAGGCCGCAGCTTCACGGGAGTTCAACTCCCGTGAAGCTGCAGGCCAGATTTTCCAGCGAGCTACTCGCTGCGGATTTTAGCCTTGGCAACTCCACGGGGAGTTGAACTCCCGTCGGAGTTTTATGAGGAAATTAAAATTTCACGCGGATGTTCAACTTCCCTGTGAAGCTTTTTAAGAGGACTAAACTTCAGGCCGAGTTGAACTCCATGTCGAAGTTTTCGTAAAGTTTTTAGAAAACCGGACCTGGTTTTCAGCGACAGTGCTGAAACCAGGTCGTTTCTAAATTTAACATGGAAACAGTGTCGTTTTTTGCCAAATTTAAAAAACATGAAACGGGTTGCGTTTTTGAAATTTTGTCCTCTAATGAATTATATTATTTATTTCTTACTTTGGTATTTTGTTAGTTTCCATATTTAGTATAAGGTGCAACTGAGTCGTTAGATAGCATTTTTTTACTAGTAATTCCCACAGTAATAATCATGTTTTTTAATAAACCAACCCACTTCATGTAAAGGCGTTTTTGCTTTTTTTCTCCATTCGACCCAAATATTTTACCTAATTTATTTGTAAACCCACATACTTTTAACATCACTAAATGAACTTGGAAATACTCCATGGAAATTATTTTAAAAAGCCAATTTATATTTAGCAATTTGGTATAATAGCCCCCCAGTAATTTATTGTATTTAGTTATTGTATTTAGTATGTCTGCGGCCGCTTATATATATAATATATATATATATATATATATATATATATATATATATATATATATATATATATATATATAAATATATATAAATATTAATAATATATATATATATATGTGTGTGTGTGCAAAAATGGGGTATGCTTAGCTACAAGCCACAAATTTTGTGCTGGTAGTTGAGAGATCATATTTCTCATCCACTCATTCCAATTCCCAACTACTGGTCCAACCCATGTAAATGTGGCCCCGATTTTAATGAGTGGGAGGGGATATTGTCACCTCACAAAAAAAAAAAAAAATACCAAGCATTCAAAAACTTTGTGGTTTGGTATCCAAGCATACCCATCTCTCTCTTCTCTCTCTCTCTCTCTCTCCTCTATATATATATATATATATATATATATATATATTATATATATATATATATATATATATATAATATTATATAATATATATATATACATATATATATAGCATACCATCTTCATCTTCTCCTCTATTATATATATGAGCATAGGACTGCTTATCAACTTAAGTGGATAGGAATTAGTGTCCACAAAACTTTTTAGCCCACTTATTTATATTAATATAAAAAGTCTCTTCTATATCTTCGCAAGGATCCCTAGGCAAGATCCAATGGATAAAAAGTTTTGGTGGGACAACTATTTCCTTATTCCACTTAAGTTGCAACAAGTTTCACCTATCTAATCTATATATATTATATATATATATATATATGATATATTATATATATATATATATATTTATATATATATATATATATATATACTTATAATATTATATATATATAGATATATTATATATAATATAAG